TTCGTTACAGAACTTTGTGACTTATTGGTTTTGAATGACTGTCGAAAATTTCCAAACGAACATGGGTGGCCATGTTTATGCAAAATTTTAAACCCATTTATATCCAGTCAACGTCCACGAGGTCCCCAATACGCTTGGAGAATCCGGGCAAAACAGTGACAAAGCCTCTGAGCCCTATCAGTTCAGAAAGTGTCTTTCTACCCACTGTAAATGAAAAGCGTCGGTTTTTTTTCCATACAGCCATTTAACGTTCGCTTCCTTTAGCTTGGCTTCATAATGCAAACAGAATGGCATCTTACCGTAGCTTGTCTGGCTTATGCCCCAGTTATGAGCTTGAAATTAAAAATAAAGCGAAGAAAACCGCGCCACCTCAACATCAAGTGGAGCAAGTTCAGTGATTTTTTGCGGGGGGAGGGGTTTCACCATCAGGTGAAATCCTGTGCCCCCTCCCCTTACATAGGCTCTGGCTGATGGCTGAGGGAGCAGCACACCATGGGTGGCGGATTAAGTGTGCACTCATCAAGCTTTGCTTGCCGAAAACTCCGGGCCTAACCCCACCCATGCGAAAAAATCAAAGCAAATTTTCGTAACCAATTCCATGATTCCTAAACAACCGAGTTTTACCCGGTAAGTACTAAACGACTGATCAAATCAAGGACCGTCTACGCCAGCTTCTAGAGGCCTGGACCCCATCTATACATATTACCCAACAGCTAAGCCGGCGTGCAATGGCACGCCGACGTTCGACCCTCTCTCCCCCCCCCCCCCCCCCTTCCTCCCCAATCCGAGCCACATCTGGCACGTCGTCTCAGAGACAGAGCCGGGCCCGAGCTGGGACGATCCGCGGGACGTTGAGCCGGGCAGCCGACGGCCGCCGACCCCGCCCGGAGCAGGAATCCCCAGCTGACTCCCAGCACGTCCCCCGCCAGCCCGTGACCCGCCGACCCGCCTGGAGCGGGAGTCCCCAGCTGACTCCCAGCACATCCCCCGCCAGCCCGTGACCCGCCGACCCCACCTGGAGCGGGAGTCCCCAGCTGACTCCCAGCACGTCCCCCGCCAGCCCGTGACCCGCCGACCCCACCTGGAGCGGGAGTCCCCAGCTGACTCCCAACACGTCCCCCGCCAGCCCGTGACCCGCCGACCCCACCTGGAGCGGGAGTCCCCAGCTGACTCCCAACACGTCCCCCGCCAGCCCGTGACCCGCCGACCCCACCTGGAGCGGGAGTCCCCAGCTGACTCCCAACACGTCCCCCGCCAGCCCGTGACCCGCCGACCCCACCTGGAGCGGGAGTCCCCAGCTGACTCCCAGCACGTCCCCCGCCAGCCCGTGACCCGCCGACCCCACCTGGAGCGGGAGTCCCCAGCTGACTCCCAGCACGTCCCCCGCCAGCCCGTGACCCGCCGACGCCGGCCGCGCAGTCCGGGGATTCCCCGCGGCCGACCGCCGCCGCCGCCGGCGCCAGGATGGGCGTCCGGCGTCGGGCAGTGCGCCGCCCTCGCCAACGGTGTCATGACATCAGCGCTACGGCAAACATTCCTTCCCACAGCGGTGCGACGACATCAGCTATAGGCGACAATACTTGAGTGTGACTGCTTGTTGTGAGTGGGCGCCCCACGGCAAAATTTATACTCCAAATAATCATGCACATTATCACACCTACTGTAAGGACTTATAGTCTTTACTTACATGCGTCATTACTTACATCAACTGCAAAAACTTGTGATCGCCATTACTAACACAGCAAATACGTATCCAGTCTTCACTTAAACGCAACACTGCTTCTACTAAATAAACTCGTACACGACATGAGTACTATACGACAAAACTTATCTTGCAAAGACATATACCAATTATTATCGCTGCCTCTACAGTTAAGACCCAACCGCAAGTAGTTGTAGCTTTAATGTCGCGCACAAGTCTTTGCAGTAGATGTAATGCCGTGTATAAACAATGGTTGCATAAACTTTTGCAGTAGAGATAATGACAGGTGCAAGTGCTTTAAGCATACGTCTTGCCGTATGGTACTAATGTTGCGTATAAGTCCTTGCACAAGAGGTAGGGTCGTGTATACGGAAAGACTGTAAAAGTCTTTGCAGTAGAAATGTTGTCGCGTAGCACTAACGTCGTGTATTGGCAGTAGAACTCATGTTGAAGTACTGCTGTCGGTAGGAGTTTTTATTGTAGCACCAATGTCATGGAGCCTGGCGATCAGAGCGCAGCGCGTGGCGGCGCCGGCCATGTCAGGCCCGGGCCGACGCCTGACGGCACAGGGGTAGTGTGAGACGGCCGGCCAGGCCTGGGCAAGCCGCAAGTACAGCCGTCCGCAACAGTGCTACAAATACCACCCAATAAACCCCCATAACAATGTCGGGTTGTTTTTTCTCTGCCTAGCCTGAAAACCCGGCCCCAGAGGGCATGCCGGATTACCAGGGACAGCGGAGGCCCACTGGATATATCGGAAGAAAGAAAGCACGGCTCAAGTCGGCCTGGGTACACCACGACCGGGCCCTGGGAGAAATACATATGATATGCACTCTACCATCTATATATCATCTTTGGGGGCATTTCATGCGGGTGTTCTAACCTCTGCCCGACTGGGAAACCGGAGGTACGGGGTTCGATTCCCCGCGGTGGCGGCCCTTCCTGCCGGGGGGAGAGGCAGGCGACGCCGTATAGCCTGAGCAGCTGAGTGCGTCGTTGAGTCCCAATGGCATCCAGAGCACGGGTGTCCATGGCGACTACAACATTAGAAGGCTTCCGATGCACGGCCGTGAGGAAAACTTTTCTTCAGAAAGTACTCCCTATGCTGTGGGGGTCCAAGAAGGCATCATGGTATGCGCTTGTATACGTATAAACAAAAAAAAAAACAGCCAGAGTTTGCGGAAAGGGGGAGGGGCAAGATGGTGCTGAGGTGACATCAGTTATCTGTTCTGGTGGTACACTGACAACCGTCTTCAGGTCCTACACCTTGGTGATGATGTAGTTCAGGAGTGACTCAGTTGGTATGAGGAGTGCTGATGCCCTGATCAGTTTAAGCAGATCTTGGTCACCCGTTCATTGCGTGAAACACTTACTCATGTTCCCCGAGCGAAAACTTCACGTGGTACCAAGATCGTCTCGATGCTCTTACTGACGATCGGGTTCACACACACACGCACGCACGCACGCACGCACGCACGCACGCACGCACGCACGCACGCACACACACACACACACACACACACACACACGCACGCACGCACGCACGCACGCACGCACGCACGCACGCACGCACGCACGCACGCACGCACGCACGCACGCACGCACGCACGCACGCACGCACATATATATATATATATATATATATATATATGTTTTAAGATATATGAACATATGAATATGTGTATGGGTTGCATATATATATATATATATATATATATATATATATATATATACAAATCGCGAGCAGCGTAGAGTCCTCGGAGCGAATGGGAGGACCCATGGAGGCCCCATGAGTGGTCTAGAGAACTCCGGTCAGTTAACATAAAGGACCCTGACAACAGCGTTGGACACCCTGAGTAAATGCGAAGAACACAGGAGGTATGCGGCACACCAATCTGGGAGACCACCGAGTGATCAAAGCCACACGACGAATCCGCATAAAGGGCCGCTACCAACAAAGCGAGGGCTCATGAACAGCGCCAATTGCTCAAAAGCTTCTCCCATCACCGCCCTCCCAATCAGCCGACAGTTCTTTCCTGGGCTGACCGCGAGGCGCGCTGCGCGCTCCATTGCCAGCTCCCCAGCTCCGGCCCGTTCCTGTGGCTGGCGTCAGGGCGGCGTGACACTCGGTTTTGTCTTGCCGCGATGATTACGCGGCTGGCTGACGCACTCGGCGGTGGCCGCGCGTCACCGGCCACAGGATCGACCGCAGCCGATGACGCGCTCCACACCAGTTATTATGCGGTCTGCCTGAGTCGGCCGGCGGCGGTCGCTCGGCTCGAGACGACTGGGCGGCACCTGGCCGGAGGCGGCGGGGCCGATCGAAGCCGCCGCTCCTGACGGTGTGTCGTTAGTGCCGGCGCCGGCGACCCGCCGACCGCCACGCTCGCGCCGCGTAATGAGTCACAGCGGCGGATGCAGGCCGGCGAGCGACACACCACTGTCGGCGCCGACCCCCGCTCGGCGCAGCGGCGTCCCGCAGGGGCGTGTGTGCTCTGGTTCAGCACGCTGACCCTGCACCAACGTCCCTGGGCGCGCCCCTGACTCCGGCTTGTTAGCGCTCCGAACCGACGGGAGAGCGAGGGGCGCGCCGGTGGCGGGCGGCACGTGCGAGCTCAGGTGCGCCCTCGACACGGCTGGACGACTGGCCCGACCCGAAGACGTCCCGGGCGGAGGTGCAAGGGTCCAGCGGCTGACGTGGCCTCTGGTGTCTGGGTTCCAGTCAGTGGGTAGGGGAGGGAGAGGGCTGACGTGGCCTCTGGTGTCTGGGTTCCAGTCAGTGGGTAGGGGAGGGAGAGGGCTGACGTGACCTCTGGTGTCATGGGTGCGGTCAGTGGGTAGAAGAGGGAGAGGGCTGACGCCAAAACATGCACCTAGACTCGTTGGAAATTGCAAACCATCAACCCAATGTTTACAGGACATTAGGCTGACGGTTCCACAGCGCTCACCTGGCGTGGTCAAAACGAATGGAATGGTCTTCAACCTGTTCCCTGCCGGCCCAACACACCCGCCCCTCGGCTCGGGCACCATCGGACACCTCGGACCGTGCCGTGCCGCGATCAGCGCCCCCCCCCCCCTCGCCCGACCCACCGCTCCCGCCCTCCCCTCCCCGCCCCCTCCCTCGGCTCGGGCACCATCGGACACTTCGGACCGTGCCGTGCCGCGATCAGCGCCCCCCCCCCCCTCGCCCGACCCACCGCTCCCGCCCTCCCCTCCCCGCCCCCTCCCTCGGCTCGGGCACCATCGGACACCTCGGACCGTACCGTGCCGCGATCAGCGGCCCCCAGCCCCGACCCACCGTGCCGGTTAGAGGAGCTGTGATCGGCCACCGTCGGCAGCACGTTCTCGTTGGCCGACAGCGAGACGAGCAACTCAAGTGGTACCAGCCACAGGCAGACCACGAAGTAGCCGATCACCTGCGGGCACGGAACGGAGTAGCGATCAGGCCGGGTTAATGGGCGAGACGCCAGGCAGCTGACGCGAACCGGCCCCGGGCGCCCTGAGCATCCGGCCCATGGCTCTCCACAGCTGGCTAGGCCCCACCGCCCAGAAAGTTTCGACCACCGTTCGCTCGTTGGGCTGAAAACTCGCCACTTGGCCCCTGGCATCGAGCCAGCGGCAAAATAAATGCATAAGTACGCACTATACCAACTGGTCTGCACCAGTTCCGAAGCCGAGACGGTCCGTCCGAGATGGGCTGACGCCGGAGGCCACCGGCCGGTGCCAGCGTCGCACAGCGAGCCCCCATCGCCAGGCCGGCCCTGTCGCCGCGCACCGGCCGACGGTCAGGGTCGTCTCTCTGCCGCCGCCACTGCGCGCCCACACGCGCTGCCTTCCGGCGGCACGCGGCTGGTCACGCGCCAGCCAGTCACGGCAGGCGCCGCCGGCCAGACGCGGCGGCAGCATGGACGGCCAGGGTCGGCTGGCGGGGAGCAGCTGTCGGCACTCACCAGCCCGGCCCGGTATGCAACTAGACGCGCAGCACTCTCCAAAATATCAGCCGGCAGCCCCGCCCACCTCGATCAGCTGGGGATCCAGTCCGCAAAAGCCCGCTGTGCTGCCACGCTGAGCCGGCATCAACCTACAATTGCTAAGTTAATTTCAATATGTTTTTTATTTCTTCTTAAATGGGAAAATTCCTATTTGCACATTTGCATGAAGGTTCTGAACTGAAACAGCCATTTCTGAAAATAATTCGGTACAGTGCACAACCCTGCCCTTCTTAAGGCACAAACCTCCCTAGTATCTGAGCTACACGGCCGCCAAGATGTGCAGACTATTTAGGGAAGATTATTTCGGAGTCATCCAGGCATCAATGACTTCACAATAACACCGTTTTAAAGGGAATGCTCCACATTTGAAGGTATTGAGGTAGGCATCAGATATTATGAGAAAAGCTCACTTGTAACTATTAATAAGCTTTCCGGGTTCAAAGACGACGCTTAGTAGCAAAATTTCAAAACTTGTAAAAACGGACCTCGTAACGTCATTGTTTGATGGCGTCATAGAATGGTTTTGTGACGACAGTAATACCTGGCAGCATCTGGCAGCCAGACCTAAAGAATACCTCGAAACGCACGAAAGCTGACGCCTACCAGTCATTCTCGTCGCGGGGGCTGTCAGGTGGCGGGTTAGTAGGTAGGTTATTTGAGGATTTTTGTATTGATGCTAGCCGTAAGAAAAACTTTGGCGGATTGTTTGACATACGCAACGTAGCGATCGCCAACTTTTATGACAGATTACTAGCTGCTATGCTGTTGATGATTTTGCCAATACTTTATCGTCGACTCATCGTTGCGTGCAGTCCTGTAGTTCTGACATTGATACCATGTGATGTGCACAGAAGTTACGGTCTTAATTGTTTGCAGCTAGAAATGTGGCGTCATGCGAAAATTAATACATTTGTAACATTGCCTTTATTGTTTGTAACCGAAAATGTGATGTCATACGAAAATTTATCAATTTTCAATTTTATCATTGCTATTGCTATGATAGAGTTGGCAATGCTGGGCTACCAAGGTTTGTTTTTGCTTAGGATTATTCATGCAATTAACAGTTAACCCTGATATAACCATTGCTGTGCATTGACATTCTTGCTGTTGAAAGTTTTTTGAGATTGTTAAATCAGTTGTTACCCGTCATTCATATATCATAGGCTGCTGTCTCATAGGCTTGACATAGAGTAGTCCAATGTGGTACATTGTGTAATAGCACGGATCAACAGCTGTGGCGCTACATCGGTGCTGTACTGTGGCATGACATAATGAACAATCATATGGTTTTTGTACTGGATTCCATGCTACTTTCATAATACATTCCATCGTGAAAAGATGGGTCACGTGTCCTCTCTTGTATTGACTCCCATCTGACACGACTGAACAGAAACACATGATACAATATACATAACACTTTCAGCAAAACAGACAATCAATAAATGGTGTCACTTGCTCGGCCTGTTTTGAGAATCCACAAAGCGTGGGTGAGAAAGATGCAAACACACCTTCCACTTCAACAGTCATGCAACATGCCGCAGCCATAAGGCTGCTTTGCTAAAAAAATCATAGGAAAACTTAACATGTGATGAAATGACACTGCAACCATGCTGACCTTGCACGAGGCTGGAAACATGACAAGTGCATGTAGTTATGGTAGGATGGGATAAATGCAAAGAAATGACACAAAGCTCATGACAAAAATATTGTAAGTCCTATCCAGGACATCAGCAGCAATACTTTTCAACCGTTCTCAGCACCCATCATCTCATGCAAGTTGCAGTGACCATAACATTGATGACTCACCAGCAATGCTCGTCTGCATACCAAATTTGTTACGTCAGTACAGTGTGCATCAGTAGTCATACAGCTCTATATTTTCAGAATTATTTAGGAAAAGGAGATTCTACGAAACCATATAATGTGAGCCTATACTGAGCATGTGCATTAATGAGCCGCACGCACAAGCCCCTACTGCCATAATGAATTGCTGATATAATGACAGGCAATGGATTACTGACATGCTGCAATACCTCAATAGGTTCAAAATGTTAGCAACATCATAATGAAGTACCAGCTTGCCTTTGTACACCCCTGTAACACAGGTGCCAGTGTTTCGCTTAGTTTGCTGACTTATGACTAATACTTCGTCATATTCAAACACAAACATGAAGGTAGAGGCAGGTATTAATATATCATATTTTACTGAGGGTCAGTAGACTTGAAGAATACCGAAACAATGATCTCTCTCAGACGTACAAACCTCGCACGCACACTCCCTACCACACCACGATCAATACAAGCCACTGGCACACACCATCAGTAATCACATACATTTCAAGCCCCCGATTCACACTCTTTTGTCACATAAGTGTGATCTCACGCTTGCACAGCCCGTGGGACTATCAAATTGCAGGTTTTCTCGCAATTTCCGCACAGATTTTCAGTTATCACACCGCATTTCACCTTGACCTCCCTTCAAAACAATGTCCCAACGGGGGTTCATAGTAATGCAGCTCGGGAGGTTGTACCTGTAGAACACAATCTTTCGTTCAATATCTAATTTGTCCTACAATGTGTGTGAAATACTTAGCGAAATATATATATATATATATATATACATATATATATATATATGTATATGTATATACAATATATATATATATATATAAAATTGCTGTAATATTTCCCTAATTTCATAATGCCTGGCTAACCCATAAACCCGTGCAGGGTTCTGTGCTCTGGTACACAAGCCCCCAACCGGGCTCTCCATAAGAAATACGTCGGTAGAAGAAGAAAAAACGCCGGCAAGAGGAAAAAGACAGAGTTGCCGTCGCGTCTTCTTTGTTATAACTTTGGGGATAGTGAGTGTGTACGGTGCCGCACTTTTTTGCAGACAGCGGCGTTCTTTTCTATAACATTGACCTGCGGCCTACAAGTAAGGAAAAATGACCCGTTCACGACGAATGCCAAACTCGAAAGTGCTGACGCTTACTTTCGCGACACGCATTCAGCAGCGACATCTTGCAACTAGCCAATCATCGTCCGCGCATTGTATCATACGTGCCGCACCATCGCTTTTGCTAATGTATCAGCGGCCATGCTGCTTTGACCATAAGCAGAAAACCTGTAGCCTGTAAGCCTGTAGTACGACCGCGATCGCATGACGTTTCTATGACGTCATTAATGCCAATGCAATATGGCTCCAAAATAAACCTGTTCGCACTTTTGCGGGCGTGTATCTCAGAAAAGAGAGCGCTTTGGGTCTTAAAAAAGACATGACATTGAACTACATCAAAAGATCCTCAAGATAGCTATTCCAGTTCAAAACGCCATACAAATGTGGAACATTCCCTTTAAATCCTGCTTTTTTCATTCGACATGCGGCGATCAAGGCCAAGAAAAATACAATTGTCGAGAAGTTCATATCCGCCGTTTGCGAGCACCCCTTTCAATTATACCGGCCGTCGGCTGTCTTTCAATCAATGATCTGCAAGGTACGATGACAAATCAAACAATGACGTATTGAGAAGCATATTTACTTCACAGACGAATTGTATTGTCTTAAGAAGTCATTTTCACTTATAAGGGACATGTTTGCCCGAAGTTTCCATTTGTGCAACGCAGTTAACTGGTGTGCTGTGTCTGCTACGGGCTTTCTGCCGCTGGCGCTGTTGCCGTAAAAAGGAAAAGCAAGCAATAAATGTATTGTGTGTGGCAGCACACTCTGGTTTTGGGGTGGTTTTAAAAGTTCAGGAGCAGAGAAAATGCATAATGTTCTTGCCAAATGCTTGGCCGGTAAAACACCGCCAAGTTTGGCCCACAACTCGGCCAAAAGCCCGCGGGATCTTGCGGGTCAGATGTTGGCGGGTTGACAGGTTGAAAAAATGCGTTTCTAGTTGTGAACCAAGGGTTGTGGACGCTCAGCAGTGTATACATGCGGTTAGGGTGTTATTATTAAGGTGCTATTTTCTGCACGATAAGAGAAAGGAAGTTGGGTTGAAGGGTGAAAGGCTTTTCAGGTTTTTTAGTTATAGGATGTAAAAGATCGCGATCACAAAAAAACAGCTCTTCAGTGTCAAAAACTGTGAAGCAACGATAACACTGTGAATAGACTTGTATCATAATATTTGCCTGGCCCCACTAGGCTGTAACGTAACGACATCAACTCCTGCCGCAGCGCTGGTAAACGTTGGTGACTGGTAAACGTTGGTGGTTGGTGCTGTGTTACAGTCAAATTTTGTTCTTCAGCGCGAATCTTAAATCAAGGCCTCAAGGCCCCTATCACCTGTTAACAAAGTACTATCGGGTTTTCAGGTGGTTCGCATGGCTTGCATGGGTCACCTTTGCGCCTCAATGAAAACAGTTCACAGAACTTCGGGAGATTAGAATGGTTTGAAGCCGAGACACTTCGCATCTCGGTA